GGGGGTTTTCGATAAGGTGTTTCGTGCTTTTTTTTTCTTCATTCCCCTTAGCAAATATTGCATTATAAATTTATATATATAAGGTATAGTATTTGAGCTATATTGATGGTTAAAAACCCCAATACCTGAAATGCAAAAATAAAACTTTAAGAAAGATTGCTGAGGGTGGCAGTTCAGGAGGATGTATCACCTCTAATTAGAGCATCTCTAAGTAGTCTTAACAATTTTGGGGTTTTTTTTTTGTTTTGGTGGGGTTTTTTTGGTTTTTTTTTTTGTTTTTTGTTTTTTAAATTTGGTTTGGTTTTGGCTTTTTTTTTTCTGAACTTAATGCTAGTAGTTATGCTCACACAGACAGGAATTTATTATCTTTTCATGAAACATGAATGATTAATAAACTTGCTAGTTTGGATTAGTTGAGCTGCTAACTCGTGTAAATATCCATGGCTTGCAAAGGCATATGGAAGAGAAGCATCAGAACTTAATTGTTTCCTATTGGCAGTTTAATGGACTAAATAATATACAAGTTTGGTTGTTTGGGGTTTTTTTTTCTTAAATTTGTTTTAGTTATCCCTCTTTGCAAATGGATTGAGGTCCTGCAGAGACTTTTTCTGATATGTGGTGTTGTGTTTTTGTGTATTCTGGCAGAAAAATTTCCTAACAAGTGGAAAATAGTCAGCTTTAGCATCATTAACTCTGGTGTTCTAGTCCAGCAGCCTCTGGGAAGGCTGGTACCAGATCTGTGTTTGCTGGGTCATTTCTTCACCCAGCAGGACAGACTAAGCCAAAGCAACAAATAAACAGAAGTAAAACCAGGCTTTATTGCTTTTGCCTTTTTGCATATTGCCTCGTAGCATGAAACGTGTCAACCATGGAGCTGAAAGGAATAAATACATTTGATCTGTCAGAGGAAATTGAGGCCTCTTGATTCTGAGGTAAAGTGACTGTCAGGTCACAGTCCCAGTTTGAAACCTTGTTGCAGTTCCTTGTTCTGGTGGTAGCTGCTTAGGGCAAGACCTTTTCCCTTTTTCTTGTTTCTCCCCCTACTTGTGTTGTGCGGGATGGTTATAGGCTTTGGGGGGCACTAGTTTGTGAGGCATTGTGCAGAGTTAAGTAATAGGGCCTTAATTTCAGTGTCCAGATGTTACTGTACTGTAATCCCTTGGGGGCTTGATCGTTCCAGTGCTCTGTCAAGTGGAGCACAGGGCTCATGCTGTGACAGCTTGTGGCATACCCCTTCGAGGCTGAGCATGTCCTCCTTTGAAACAGCTGCCACAATGGCATTTTCCATTTAAATGACAGTGAGCTGGGTAGATTTGTGAAGAGCATATTTTTGTGTGGATGAGATGCTATGCAGTGGTTGAAGGTGGAAGTTGAAGGACTTGTACTGCCTTCATTGGTATTGCATGTTTCAATACCCCCTCTCGATTATCTCTTGGAGCCTTGTATCTACTGATGCATGTGTCAGGCTACTTTTTGCTTCCTTTGTCCTGGTATTCAGATTTAAATCTGGTTAAAGAGAATTCTGTATGTAGTGGGGAACAACGATTTTCAGTTTAGCAGTGGTACTGCTACATATTCTTAAGTACTGATATTTTTGTGATGCTTTGTGCTAAACTTGTAAGTGATATATATGTCAAGATGGTGAGTTAACATAAAAACTAGTTTCCTTCTAATTTTACTAAACAATTTACATAAATTGTAAAAAATACCTTTTCTTGTAAGAAATTCTACATTGTCAAGGTTGTACAAAGAATTGACTCTTCAGTACTATTCATGCTGTGAGAGGAGCTATGCAATTAATGTTTGGGTTTATTTCCTGTTGTGGAGGAATGTCAGACTTTCTAACTTTTTAATAGCTTTATTTTATAACTAGTTTTCCTCAAATCACACTTGTCCCCAATGCAGTTTTTTTGTCTTTTAGAAGAAACTGTCTGTGAAGATACTTATTTTCTAGTGATTAAATTTTGATATGTTGTATGAGTCTTAAACAAGCTTTAAAAATTATTTTTCTTAAAACTCTTCTGTTAATATTTAGCCTTTTTTTGTTTCCTATTCATAGACAATGATTTGCAAGGAACAAATAGTTCAGGATCATTGGGTGGTCTTGATGTTCGTAGAAGAATCCCTATAAAGCTTATCTCAAAGCAGACCAATAAAACCAAACCTGCACCTCGAACTCCAAGAAATATGAACAGGATGCCTTCGAAGACACAAGCTGGTGATGAAGGTAAATTGATATAAATACTAGCCCTGTAGTAGGGGAGCATATTATTCTGCAGCTCTGTTCAAGACTGCAGTCTTGGAGACCTGGCGTCCCAGGTTCTGTCTAAGTGCAGACAAGTTTCAAATTCCTGGTTACTGCTGCACTATAAGGATTACATGGTGCACATTCCCAAAACAGTCTGTCTTAGTGATTTAACTGTACTTTTCTGTAGAATGGGCCCTGCAGATTGGAAGTGCTGTGGCATTTCTTGATGATTTCAGTATAGAATGACACATGCTTTTAATAGCAGCTGATGTCAGTTAGGAAAGCAGTGGGTTGGCTTGTGTCTTTCTTCTCTTTCTTCTTTTCACAGAAGAATTCGATTATAACAAAGAGGAGCGATACGAATGCAAGGGCGGTGAAATGTTTGGTAGTCAAAGGAGATTCCCTGGACCCATCTTCTGGGACTATAAGGTAAAGTCATGGATGGGAAGTCGTGAATCTTAGTCTGTGAATCATTCCAAGCTGTAGGTAGTTGTCGTGATTCAAGCCTAGCCGGCGATCCTGGAACCACCCAGCTGCTCGCTCACTCCCCGCCTCCCACCTTCCTCCGCCCGCTCCCAGAGTGATGGGGAGGAGAACTGGAGGAATGTAGCTCCTACAGGTTGAGATAACAGCACACAAGTAACTAAGTTATAATATAAACCCCTACTGCTACCAATAATAATAAGAGAAATAACAAGGGGGGAGGACACAACCGCTCACCACCCGCTGACTGATACCCAGCCTGACCCGAGCACCAGTCTGGGCCTTCCGGGTGACTCCCCCCAGTTTCTATCCTGGCCATGACGTGCTGTGGTATGGAATAGCCCTTTGGCCAGTTTGGGTCAGGTGTCGTGTCTCTGCCTCCTCCTGGCTTCCCCTCCTCCCTGGCAGAGCATGAGACTGAGAAAGTCCTTGGTCAGAGTAAACATTACTGAGCAACAACTAAAAACATCGGTGTTATCAGCGTTGTTCCCAGGCTGAAAGTCAAAAACACAGCACTGCACCAGCTACTAAGAAAGAGAAAAAAATGACTGCTGTAGCTGAACCCAGGACAGTCGTCCTGGTAGATACCTTCTTAAGTGAAAGTACTTCCATTATTTTTGACTGACTGACTGAAAATAGACCCTCTGCTTTCTCAAATTTCTTGCTTGCTTCTCAACTAATTCAGAAATAGTGTGTTGGTGATAGTTGAAATGAGAAGCTTTTAATGATGTTGTTTTTTTTGTTCTCCCACTCCCTTCTCTGTCCTATCAGATAAACTTGCTGGGGGAAAAGGATGACACACCAGTCCATTTCTGTGATAAGTGTGGATTGCCCATCAAAATGTATGGACGCATGGTGAGTGAAACTGTTGGTGCAAGATGCATCATGACTTTAGGTAAAATTAGGTTTTACTGTGTCTCTAATGAGGCCTTTAGAGGTTACTGTTTATTCAGACACCTGCTGAAATCAGCAGAATATCAGGATGGAACTGGGGGCCTTCGTTGCTGACTTATTTGGGTTTTTTTTTCCACTGGGCTGATTTCACTTCGGCCCCTGATGTAATAAAGCAAGCTTGAAAATGTTAAATAAAAAATCAGAACATCAACAAAAAACCCCTTCAGGTTCATTGGGTTTTGACATTACGCAACTTAGCTTTAAAAGGAAGCTGTTTAAGAGTCACAGTGACGTTAGGAAGCACTGTTTGCTTTTATGTCCCTTTAAAGTTAGTGTGACAAAATCCCTGAGATTAAATTAGATTTCTAAGTGTGATGTAACAGGCTTCAGAATCTGGCTTAATGACAGTTAATGCTTTTAAAACTTGCCTTCCTTGCCAGCAAGACAAATGTAATTAGATTTCATATGCAGCTTCTGTGAATGTTCAGTGCTGATATTATTGCAAGACTTAAACTTTTGCCTATAAGTTTTTGCCAACATTAAAAATCCCAAACAAACCTACCCCAAAAAAACCCAAACTCAACACAAACTGGTTTAGAAAGCTTCTATGCAAAGATGCTGCAAACTGCTTACTACCTGTTCACAGGCTGTGCTTGTTCACCTCATAGGGAACTTAGTTACTTTTATTATTATTATTTTGTACCAGAGGAAGGAACTGTATTCTGCAGAATGACACAGATATTTATATACAGTGACCTGTATATAAACAGAGCTGGTTTTTTGTCTCTAGATACCTTGCAAGCATGTTTTCTGCTATGACTGTGCTATACTACATGAGAAAAAGGGAGACAAGATGTGTCCAGGGTAAGTTATCTCAAGATTTGTTATTAAAGGAAATGCAGGAAAGTAACTTAAATACCTTGTTTCAGATACTGTGTTAGCATAGTTATTTATGTACATTTAGCAGAGGCAGTAGAGTACTCTCTACTACATCAGTTGATTATAGTTTCATATCCCATGTTTTGGGGTTTCAAGAGATCAGCATTTACTGGTTTTGGGTAGATAACTTGTTACTGCTCTAATTTAAAAAGCTCTAATTTGAACAGCAGTTTAATTTACTTAGTCAGAGTGACTCTAAGTTTAAAGTCTTAAGGCACAGAGGGAATTTGTGAGAGTGAAGCTGTCTATAAATTTCCACCTCATGAAATTTTAATGTTCTTTCATAGTTGTATTTGGAAACTTAAAACTAAGATGAACTTCAAAATCAATGAAATGTTTCTTTCTTTGCTACAGTGGGGAAGAAATTGTCAGTTCTAGTTTGGGTGATTATGCTAAACTAGTTGACTTAACAAAAACTGCAGATAGAGCTGTCTGTGATGACTCTAAACCAATATTCTCTTACGATTTAGCTGTAATGAACCTGTGCAGCGAATTGAGCAGTGTGTACGAGGGTCCCTCTTCATGTGTAGCATCGTTCAGGGGTGCAAGAGAACTTACCTGTCACAGAGAGACTTACAAGCTCACATCAACCACCGCCATATGAGAGCTGGAAAGCCTGTTAGTCGGCCTCCAATTGAACCTGTACATCCTCCTATTGCCCCACCACCTGCTGAAATTCCTGAGCGCTTCATAATGCCACCTGAGAAACATCATATGAGCCACATTCCGCCAAAGCAGCACATCATGATGCCACCACCTCCTTTACAGCATGTGCCACATGAGCATTACAACCAGCCACACGAAGACATTCGTGCACCTCCTGCAGAGATGTCAATGGCTCCACCACCACCTCGCCCAGTCAGTCAGGACACCTTCCGCATCTCAACAAGAAAGCACAGCAACTTAATCACTGTCCCTATTCAGGATGATTCCAGTTCAGGTGCTCGCGAACCACCTCCACCAGCCCCTGCACCTGCTCATCATCATCCCGAATACCAGGGTCAACCAGTGGTATCGCACCCTCATCATATTATGCCTCCACAGCAGCATTATGCACCAACCCCACCCCCACCTCCACCAATAAGCCATCCGCTGCAGCACCCTCCCCAGGCAGCAGGTACTCCTCACATGGTGTATAGCCAAGCTCCTCCTCCACCAATGACCTCTGCTCCTCCTCCTATTACCCCACCACCTGGACATATAATTGCCCAGATGCCACCATATATGAATCATCCTCCTCCAGGACCTCCCCCTCCTCAGCATGGAGGCCCACCTGTAAATGTAAATGCACCCCCTCCCCATCACTATAATCCTAACTCTTTGCCACAGTTCAGTGAAGATCAAGGAACTCTTAGTCCCCCTTTCACACAGCCTGGGGGAATGAGTCCAGGGATATGGCCAGCTCCAAGGGGGCCGCCTCCACCTCCAAGGATGCAAGGGCCTCCTGCTCAGGCCCCGCTTCCTGGACCACACCACCCTGATCAAGCCAGATACAGACCCTATTACCAATGATACAAGCAACTACATGAATAGAGAGTGCTATGAAGAGGATAAAATTATATACAACAGCCTTTTAATTAATTGTTTTGGGGTTATTTTGTTGTGTGTTTTTTTAAAATACTGTCATTTTGACTGTAGGACATTTTGGGGTTTGAATCTTAAATGATTTTTAAGCCTTGGCCGTAGGACTCTGACTTCAAATACTCTGTAGTGCTAAAATAAGTGGCTTAGTAAACCACAGTTGCATTTTAACAGAACTTCTGTCTCTAGTGTGGCTAAATTGTCTTAAAATGAACACTTGTAATATTATTTCCTGGAGAAGATGAACACGTGTTGTACCATTCTGAATATTGTTTTTGTTACATCCAGTGTTTAGTTTCACTTGTGATACGTTTTTGTTAACCTGTGTCCAATAATTAAATTGAAATATGGTTGTAAAAGTGGTGGGTTTTTATATGACGTTAAGACAGACGTAGTTCTGGGCCACCATTTTGGCACTGATACTTTCCAAATGGGCAGTGTAATGAAATATTAAGGGAACTTAAATATTTCTCCTACTAGCAATTACCATTACTTATGGCAAATTTAGGCTATGGTGATTTCATGGCACCAGAAACCAGACATGCAGAATACTGCATTTCAGTTCGTTCGTTCTTTTTTTTTTTTTTTCCTTTAAATTTATGCAGCAAAATAAATTCATCAGAAATACAGCTTTGGGGATAACATGAAACCATGTAATGTATTGTGGGGTTTAGTGGGTTTTTTTTTAATTTGGGTTTTGGCTTTATGGAGTTTTTGCTTTAAAGCTAGTTTTGATTCAGAAGGTTCTGTTTACATGTACGCTACTCACCAGAGTTGAATTCAAACTATTGTGTTTGCTTTTGACTGTGTTTGTGTGGAAGTGGCTGTGAATTGGCTTGCCATGTCTGTGAGAAGCAGATTATTTTAGGTAAGGAAGTGATGTTTGCCTCTGTCACTTTATTTAATATGTACAGTAGGAAAGCTTCCCATTTGGATAACCTGGAAGAAGTGGTCTGAAAACCCATATGTAGATATAAAGAAATAAAAAGCTACACATCTCTTACCTGTTTCGATTTTGTGATACAGATTTAACTGAACAGACAACAGTTAGGTGTCTTGGTTTTCTTTATTCAAAAAGTAGCAGTGTGAGCAGGCCCTCAGGTCTCCTTTGGCCCAAAATTTGTTTTATAGAGAGAAGTACAATAAATGAGAATGTTCTTTTTTAATGCAGCTGATACTAGAACCAGACAAAAAAAGACAGCACAGTCTGTCATTTGGAGTGCTTATCTTTGCATTTCTAATCCATGTTAGTGCTGAACCTTTGTTTATTCAAAACGCTGCATTTCCAGCAGTGGTGCTTTTAGATGAAGAAATCTTTACTGCCACCCACCACCACCCCAGGTTTGTAATTTCCTACTGTTCCTGAATGATCTGAACCATCTTAAAGCCTCAGTGTTACTTGTTTTGTAAACTTTTTTCCCTGCCTCCTAAGTGGTAAACTTATGAAAGGTTGCAAGTGCAACATGCCAAATATTGTAATTTTCTGTATAAACTGCCTATTTTTAATTACCAGAGCAAGGGCTCTTTAGATTTGCTCTGTCCTTGACTGACATGGATTTCCTTATGACCCTGGGACAGTCCTTTAGTCTACCTTTCATATAAACACTTCTTTAGAGATGGGCAAATGGATTCTGAGATACACAAATAATCTTTGAGGTATACAGATGGCCAGGAAGTGTCACCTGATGAGAAGTCTGCTTAGCTGTAATATGCTGCTTTTTCAGACAGAGTTCTTTGGTTTGCTTTCTCTGAAAACTAAGTCATTTGTTTGAAAAATAAAGCACATTGGTAAAGAAAAAGAGGCTGACTGTGGTAGTGTGCTGTGGTACTGGCTTGGCTGAAAATTTGCTATTTCATATGTATGAATGTGAAAATTACTCTGGGCATTATTTTGCTTCAGTAACTAACAATAAGCATGTGAGGAGCTTTAAAGGGGGCCCCCTTCTGTCAGTGTTAAATTGCTTGGCAGGAGGTAGGCTTAGGCACGTTTATATTACAGCTTAAAACTTCATTGGGGAAGAAATACGTGTGTCTGAATAACGTTCTTTGATGCTGCAAAGCCAGACTTAGGTCTGACATACCTGTTTTAAACAGCCTTAGTGATGGTTCCAGGCACCAACTTAGTCGTGTTCAGGCTGAGAAGGCAACACATGCAGGTTTATGAGGACACCATGTGACAGGCTTTTGTGCAGGGAGGTGCATTGACCTCCCCAGAGCACTCTGTGTTGGGACATAGGGCATTCTAAAATTGGCTATTACCTGTTGGTTGCGGGTGATGAGGAAATAAAACAACTCTTCCCATCATTCTCGTTTTCATAAAGAAGTCAGGTTGCACATTTGTGTTACACATTCAGTCTGTTGTGAAGCAGATGAAGGGTTCAAACATTGTAATTCTGGGTCCAAAGCTGTTCTTGAAGTCCTTGAGAAAGCTTTTCTGGAAAGGCTGAGGCAGTTGAATCAGTAAAGGGAAAACAGCAGCTTTGCTCTGTCAAAAAGCACAGAAGATCAAAATATGTCACTATAGAGAAAGTATGAGATTTTTTTTCTCTATTATATATAAAGGTGATGTGTTAGGCAAAAAATCAGTGGGATCCCTTGAATTGTTTAGTGACAACAGATGAAAAGTCTTTGTGGTAAAGGATTTGGTGAAAAGTCATCTTATGTAGGCAGGATTGGATCAAATTTGTATGTCCTGCTTCTGTAGGAAGACCCAAATCCTTTCTTTTGTTTATTAAGTCTTGAACATCCACGTGTAACAAAGGTGACTGTTGATGCTTTCGTAGTTCCAAAGTTTGAAAATGTCCGTGTTGATTGAAATCTTATGTTAACAGTCTTTTAAATTTCTCTATGGGGCTGGGGGTGTGTTTTGGTTTGTGGTTTGTTGTTGTCGTTGGTTTTGTCTTGAAGTTTTTTTTACCTTGGTCAGTTAGTTGGGGGTTTTTTTGCAAAATATCTGGTCATTTTGGTATGAAGTTCAGAAATTCATACATTGTGTTTAACTGTATAATTGACAGTCTTAGAAATGGAGAGATGTACTTGCAAATCCTTTGGATTCCTACTTATGTCTTCCTGTAAAGACAAACATTTGAATTGAATTATGTTTATTTTAAATGAATATCCCTGTCTGTGACAGTGATCTCCCTCCTGAGGCATTGCCAAAGAGACCTAAGGTTTTGAAGAGAACTCTGACCATATTTAGATACGTCAGCCACTGCAGGTTCCTCCAAGAATGTCACATAAGGGAATGAAAAGGAGTTTGATGATGGTTCATGTCCCCCATGTCATGAATTAAAGGGCACCAGCAGATGGCCTGAAAGTGTCTGTGGTTTAGATGCTTCTCTCTTTATCTTCAATTCCATCTATATCATTGCTTAAAGGATTACCTGAAACCACGCATGCTCTACATCAAGCAGGCTAATTGTGTCAATATGTATTTTATTTTTGTTTGGTTTTTTAATACAGTTAACATAAAGATGTGTTACATAGATGTGTTATGTGATATTTTTTGTGCCTTTGAACAAAGAAAAATGGAAGATGTGAATTATTTTTTTAAAATCTGATCCAAGGAATTAGCCTTTTACTGGCTGGAGTTCCCACTTCTTTTCACTCGCTGCTCTCAAAGGACTGTCTAATGCTGTTTCTTAAAAACTAAAGTGGAAATAACTTGTATTCATTCCGTGTCAGAGTTAGCACACACAGCAAGGGAGAAAAACTGCCTAACTCCTTCCTGTATTATGGGACACAAATGTTCTCAGAAGCACATTTGTGGATATGCTTTCTCTGTAGATGGACTCTGAACAGACCTCTCTGTTCTTAAAATGTTTTCTGCTCTGTAAAACCGGTGTCTGATAGTGAGTTGTTTCTCTCTGCATGCACTCCTGTGTGCTGAAAGAAGGTGCTGCCAAGCCTGCAACTGCAACCTAATATTGAATGTGAGGGAAATAAGTTTGAACTTTTTCTGCTCATGTATATGACACTACAGGGTCCAGTGCATCAGAGAAATGTGCAAGGTTTATGATATTCATTTTCATCCTAAGTACATTTCTAAAGGAAATGTCGGTATTATACAAGTTGTATTTCCCTTGGGTTTTTATTTTATGTAGTAACTGTTAAATCAGCTTTATATAGTAATGCTGCCTTCACAACTGAGAGGTTCTTCTCTGTGTTCAGGTGTGTTATATGCACACTGATGATTTGTACTGACCAGTTTGTGAACTGAACTAGCTGCCTTGGTTTGGGCAATGTGAGTGAGAATGATGAAGTTTAAAGCTCCTTTTAGTCTTGCCTTAGCCATAAGACAGAGAGATTTTGGAAACTTTTCCTATTCTGAATTGATCCCCTTATTCTCTAAATATGGGCATTAATTTGGGGAGTTTTGGTGGGGGTTTTTGTGTTTGTTTTTGTTTGGTTGGTTGGTTGGTTGGTTTTTTGTTTTGTTTTTCTTTCTTTTTTAATTATTTTCAGTTTTGACACAGTTCATGAGTACAAGAGTTTAAAAGACTTAAAAATCCAACATACATTGTGAAAGTTGTGGGTGGAATAGCAGCAGGAAGCTGGTAAATTAGCTCAGTCATCTTGAAACTTCAGTAATTCATTTTGATAATACAATGCAAGTGATTCTGGAGTGCTATTAGGACTGATTGTAACAGAATTCTGTTAATGGAACGAGTCATGATGTGTGCAAGCAGGCAGGAATGTTCTCATTGTTACGTAGTGATTTTTCATGAAAGAACTTCAGTTTAACTGCTTAACAAACCCCAAATTAATAATTTCAAATAGCTGTGAGTATGTGTGAGTTGACAAGAGTTTTTCTTTGGTTTTATTTGTGAAAACCAATGCTTGAATGAAGCTCCAGCATAATTTCCGGATCAGGTAAACTTTTCAGGCATTTTCTTAGGAAGCAGAAGGGAGCACAAGCATAAAGAAAAGTGAGAAAAGAAAGCTGTCCACCTTCAGCACAGGAGTGAGGAATAGAGAACTGCGAGTGACATTTCAGTAAAGAGGTATTTAAAGATATATTTTCTTTAATAGAAGCTTAGTTTGAAATTGAAAAAAAAAAAGCCAAACCAGGTTTGCATGTTATAATCCTCTCTCCATTGGGCCCAAGACCCTGAGTAACTGAATAACTTTGAATTTTTTTTTCTCTCTTTCACACAGGCAATCTCTTCTGCACCACCAAATGAAAACCAGGTTTGAGAGTAGCTTGAGCATCACAGGCTCCATGGCTTCTGCGATTTCCATCGCTCTTGCTGGCTGTAAAATGCCTGTTACTTAGTTACCAAGCATCTGCACAGTGCTGAGGAGAGATAGGCTCTGGATATGTGATGATGTATTAACATCATACCCATCTGCTCTCCAA